CAGGGCCACACCACCCGCCTTGTTCCGTGCCCCCTCTTCAATCCGTTATTGTCAGAAGCGCCGATTGGCTCAGCCCTGGCCTGGTCTGGGTCCAGCCTGAAGCTGGGGAAGCTTCCAGCAGTTTCTCACAGGGGCTAGATCGTGGTACTCCTTTCCACCCCCTCCCCTCCCCAGTTACCAAACCCTTGGAGCCAGGGGTGGGGGTGAACTCTCAGCAGTCACTGCAGGAGCCATCACTGTGACCCCTCCCTCCCGCCAGAGCAGGCTTGGAGCTGGGGGAACTCTTGGCAGTTCCTTACTGTGGCCCCTCCCTGCTACCAGACAAAACCCCCCCACAAAACTGTAACACGTGCCTAGTCCCAGTCCTGACTGCAGGCTCGGGGAAGGTGCTGCAGTGAGAAATAACAGAGCAGAGATAGCAAGTGTCTGCAGCAGAGTTCACCCTCCCCATCTGCCAGAGCACCCCAGGGGGCAAACGAACCCCCTGTGCGATTGCAGCTGCAGGAAGGGCAGCCAAGGCTCCTCGGAGGGTGGGGAAACAGCCCGAGCTTCCACCGTGCGTCCTCCTGAACCGCCACACAGCTGGGAGCGTGCAGACCTGCCCCTGAAATGGAGCAAATCTCTCCTTCAGGTGCAGAATTAGTAATGGTTTCAGGCTAAAAAACTGCCTGTTGAAAAAATTTATTTCTGACATGTTTACCGCTTGTGTTCATTAAAGCTTGTATGCTCCTCCAGAATTTTGCATAAGATTGGCTGACGAGAGGCACATCATGTTAAAACTTGTCCTGAGAAGCAATAATACACCAGAGCATTTTCATGCATAAATGAGTCACGACACTGATGCTTTCAGGTAAGGACAGTTTATTTGCCCCTTTGAACAAATAAGGCAAGGTATTTGAGAAAGATAAAACAAAATCTCCTGTATCAAACTCAGAGGAATGCAATAAAAGTTACTATTTCATACATATACAAACTAATGACCCAACACTATTATATACAAACAGCCAGATCTTACAAAACAGCATTTCAAGTCAGCACTTTATGCCAGTGTTGCCAATTTCTTTGTTACAAAAAAGTTAAAGCTACAAACTTCACATTTTTAAGTCTCACATGACTGACATCATCAGTATCTCTGAGTTTTAGAAGCAAAGACAATGGTTTGTCCAGAACACTTTCAGCAATGCAGATGGACCCAAGGAACACACAAATGCAGCTTCACAATTAAGGAAGTTTTTTGGTTAAAAACTTTGCCGGAACAGTTTTCCCTTATGGTACGAGCCTTGGTCTTAGTCTGGAGGACTCTGAGAAGTGAGCAGGTACTACGCTCCCAGACACTCTACAAAGGGCTCAAAAAGGGAAATATTTCCTTTAACAGATTGAAAAATCAGTGAAGGAGAAAATAATTCCTCTGCATTAGAGCTCCAAGTGCAAGAAATATCATCAAGTCTCAGCCACCGCAAGCGTTTAAGAAAGGTTCAAAGACAGTTAAGCCACTGGACCAGTTTTACTTATTTTGGTTCATTTGCTGTATTTTAAGACAATCACATCAGCAAAGCGGAGTATTTCAAGAGTGCTTACATTCAGTTACAGCAGTCACAGGTTGCATATTCTGTAAATAGACACCACTTTGTGGTGTTTCACCTAAAACTTGGGTTTTCTAATGCCCTCCCATCACTAGAAAGTTACCTACACAGTGCAGAGGTAAAACTACTCCCAGCAGAATCTGCCTGATCCACGCCGCCTGCCAGCAGTGCGCCATTCACCCTGTCACATACCCACAGCTGTCACACCAGAGGTCACACCAGTGACTAATAACAAGATCCAACGCTTGACCAGAGAACTCCCTCCTAATTGTGGGACTTTGATGCTAAGGGCACTCATGAATATTGCTCATAACAAACACATGGTTGGGGGAAACCATATTGCACGGCTTTCAGACGAGCACTGTATGAGCCCTGATGTTCCCACAGCACTTCCCTAGACCTCATCAGAGTCCAGACTAAGGGATTTTAGTCCGTTAAGATCAAAGCTTTTAATTACTTTTTTTCCTAATTCAAACCATTCCCAGTACTCGAGGCTATCAAACAGCTGGCTATCCCAGGACATACTCTCACTCCAGCACAGACACACTGCCTCCTGCCTCCCTTTCCCTTGGGGACAGCCAGCTCGCTGAGCTCCGCAACAGCTGTGTTCGCACTGCGTATCAAACCGAGACAAACCGATGCAACCAGATCTGCAGAGGGGGTAAAAATGGCTTGGTTCCTTTCACAGCAATGGAGTATACCTTTTAACAGCAGCCAAGAGTCTGCACCAAGGGGATAAAGAGCCGACAGAAGCGTGAAATGAACACTTCACCTCTCTAGCAGCATTTGATTCAGGAGACACTGCTATTTAGTTGAATTATCTAGGTGAGGTACCAAGGCCTGTTTCAGAAGAATGACATGGAAACTGTTCCCTCTATCAGAGCAAAATAAAAATAAATCGGTAGAAATACTTACTCTGTCCAAATATTTCATCATATGCTGGATACATCTAAAACCACACAACTCTGCTGTTACAGCCCACGGGGCAGAGGGATCACTTCATCTCTGCCCTGCAACTAAGCTCTCTGCCTCACCTGTTTTACTCTCCACTCTACTGGTGTGAGTTAATTGCACCATCCTCACAGCGATTGTACACGCTGGGGCATTTTCGTTGATTGAGCTATACCAGGCAGGAATGGCAGGGAAATTTAAAGAAAGACAAACACAAGAGCATCCAGAGGAACTGGAAGAGAACAGACTGAATCTCTTCCCATAGTACATCAGTCTTATCCAGATCAACTCCACCTTTGCTGCACCAGCACAAATGCACATCTTTGTTAATTCAGCAAAGTCTTTCAGTTCAACTTTCCTGATGTGCTAAACTTTGCAGAAATGTGAAGGATTGTGAAATTTAAGTTTTTATTCAAGCACTTAAAGATGTAAATCTGAAATGAAGCCTACAAAATATTTCACAAACTGTGAAATATTGTGGAGACTTTTAAGTCCTCTCAGACACAGCAGACGTACCTAATTCCTGAGAGAGGTTCACACAGCTTCCACCCATTTAAACACCGTTTCCTTTTCCCAGCACTCCATCATCAGCAGGGTCTCCCTGAAGGACATTTCCAAACAGACAGGTGAAGGGGAATCAGATCACTGATTGGCTTTTGGTTTTAAGTTTGGATTTTAAATTACAGAATGTAATTTCTGATGGAGGCACAATGTGCTTTATCTACTCATATTAATTCATAAAGTACACAAAAAGAGGACAAAACCGAGGTTTTGAATAAACCACACTTGCTTAAAGCACACAGTAAGGCATGGGGCTTATTACAGGCTTCTTAAAAAATGAGATTTAAGTTTCTTTCAAAAGGCTGGAACAGTTCTCACCTGCTCTCTTCAGTGACCTAAAACTTATCAGTACCTTAGCAGTAGAAAGATACAGTTAACAGCTTGAAATTGAGCCTGTGCATTCACAAAGAAAACCAAAACCAAAATACACAAAAGATGCAGCCGTTAAATACCACAATCCATATTAACTTAAAACAAAATGGACTACTGAAAGTTCAGTTGAAAAGAGAGTGAGCCAGCTTTCATTAGCCTATTTCTATCTGTTCCTCCGATTTAAAAACAATCTCCCTAAAAACAGTAACAAAACTCCTTCAGAATAATGTTTTAAATACATGTCTAACATTAAAACATACCATCAGGATCTTCCACTTAATGGAATTCACAAAGGTGCTATGGAAAAATAAATGAGCAGAAGTATTGCCCTCTATTTTGCTAGCATATTTCAACAGAAATCAATCTGTTTAGTAGTCATAAAAGCAAGGAGCTGATTGTTTGAGGATGGAGGAATATTCTACCAGAGGCTCAGAAGTTCTGCTGCCGCCGCTTCTTGGCTTCAATGGCATCGAGGATCGGCTGCCGCTTTGACTGGTACTTCTGACGGATTTCTTCAATCTCCTGCTCCATCATGGGGTCCAGGGCTGAGAGCCTTCTCTGCAGTTCATCAACACTCCACGACTTTAGCTAGCAGGGAGATCAAAGAAGAACAGACATCAGCATCAGTACGGTCCCCATCCACACATCTACAGGGATTCTGCTGCCCATCTGATGGTCACGACATGTCTTCCAGTGGGAGACAGTGGAAGAGTTCTGACTAGTGCTCTCGGTGAGACTGGTGTGAGCCTCAGGACACTGGGCTGCTTTTGCTCGTTTTACAGATACGTTACATGCTCTGTTTAGTGACAGCATGACTGGATAAAACAACTAGTGAAATGTTTCCCCATTGAGTTGTTCTTCTAATGCATCATTTTGCAGGCTCAGAACAGAAACACTGCATGGAGATGGAACAGAAGCAAAGTTTTCTCCCCCTCCCCTTTCCTTGCAACTGAATGTCCTTCTGCTAAGTGACAAAAGGAGACAGAAGGGAACAGGAAGAAAAAAAAAAATTGACAAAAGTTGCATTTGAAAAAAAAAAAAAAAAGGATTTATGTACAACGCTGAGAACTGGCACAGAGAAGTGTGGCCTGAACAGTCTAGTTGTCCACAGCTACACCCTTTATGTAATGTTATAATATTATACCCTGGGGAACAGGCAGGATTTTAGGATAGTGTCAAAAAATACAGATACTGGAAGTGCTCCAAATGTTCACCTAAGCACCAGTCCTCTTCCCATCCAAGACCAAGCAACCCCCAGAAACACTCGTGAGATGCTGTTTTACAGCCGCTGCAGCAGGATGGGAATGACTATCTGCACCAGCTGCTTTCAGGGACCACCTGCTGTGGATGCTAAGAACATGCAAAATAATTTGGAATTTTTCTGAACAAAGAAGTGCCAATTTTCAGACTTTCAACAAACATAGTAACTGATCGACTTATCTTTATTTCAGTTAAGAGCAATTGATGCTGCCGTCCTGGTGTAGCTGTTAGTCACGTATCGTGGTTATTCTTCAAGCCATTTCTGAACTGAAACAGCGAGTGAAACACTTGCTACCTACTATAAGGCAACAACTGAATTACTGGCTGTTGAATCGCAGTTGTAGAGTTTGCATCAGACCTTAACATGTATGTAAGTACTAAAATAAGGAAATCTTGATCCTTCTTCCTGAGGTGGAAGAGACACCAGTCCCCAAACCCCCACACCACAAAGGCATCTGTTGGCTGATTTCTCACAAGGTCTTTTGAAATTCTTTAGCATATTCTGCAAAATAAGGTAGCTGCAGTTACAGGATCACCAATCCACTTTAATAATCCAGGCACAAGCAAAACAAACCCTTTTAAGCAAGGGTAATACAGTCTTTCAGCCCCTCCAATCAGGCAACTGCTCATTAGAAAGACAAAGCACTTCCTCCACAAAGATATACATTATTTATACACATTAATGCAACTTTATCAGACAGCAGTTTAACTTGATGCATGGCACCAGTTGCTTTTTCACACTAATTTATTATGGAACAGGTGATTATTCAACATTCCCCCTTCCTCACAATCCAGGAAATTGAATAGTCAAATAAAAACGCAGAAAAGAAGAAAAACCTTAATTCAGGTACTGAACACGTACATTAAGCAGCTCTATCAGACCAAATGGCCGTCAGCTCACACAGAGTGCCCAGCGCTAGAATACTAAGAGAGAGTTTTGGAATGGATGTACACCACCCTATGCACAGCTTAAGCCAACTATTAGGTGGCTGAAATAATCCTGGGGCTGCCATCTTCCCTGGGTGCCCTTTGAGCCTTCTCCATAATCCTCCCGAAGCACTGGGTGCTGCTTACAGCCAGAAACAAATCGCCAGAGCTGGCGGACCAGGCGGCAGAGCAGATTTACAGTGATGGTCTCTCCAGACCCCAGGAACATGGCAGTAAGAAGAAAAAATTGCCCTAAGAATGTTCTTGAACATGATCTAGCATCATGGGACATCCTCCCTGGATACCGACACACAGTCTTTTGCTAACTGTGAGCAACTGCTTGCCAAGGGACACAATGGCTTTGAGAATTCCTGGGACCGTGTGTCAGGACAGATGGGAAACAGTATGGAAGGTGCTGGGAGTACAGCTCAGTGTGGAGTGGGCAAAACCCTGCAGATATGTATTGATAGGAAAACATCGGGAAGTGGGGTACCTGCGCAGACATGTGATACGTACAGAAGTAGCTACTTCAGGAGCCTGATCATGGGTTACACAGAATGGGGATGGGGGCAGAAGGGAGAGAGGCAAGCCGATGCAGTGCAAAAATGTAAGAGCAGAGAAACACACCCTGTGCATAACGCTGTGTGTGACGAGGATGGGCTAATTACAGAGTTTTCATTTGGAAAAACATCGGCGTGGCTGTGGATGCCATGCTGCTCCTAAAAGAGGCAGAGGAGCCAAAGGGTAACACTAGTAAAAGGTCCAGAATGAGACGGTTCACCAGAGAGGAGCAGATGAGAGGCTGACAGGAGCCAAGCGCCCTCCACTCCCCCTGTGCTTCAGGGCACCCGGGCTGGGCTTGTCCTTCCGCTCACACAGGCATCTTTAAAGGGAAAAAACCCCCCCAAAAGAAACAAAAAAAATCAAACAAACAAAAAAACACCAAGAAAGAGCTGTTTAAAACAATGGCCTCTATTTCACTTTGCTGCCTGGCATTTCACTGTAAGCCACAGACAGACTTTCTCCCAGAAATGAAGTTTTTAAACTCCAGCAGATCTGCCTCTGCTGCGGTAGACTCCTGGGATACTGACATTATTCTCCGAGAGAAACGCCAGGGGCAAAATAAGAAAAGAAGGACAAGGACAGAGCATCTCATGACAGCCAGTCACTCCGGGTACAGCTGCAATTAGAGCTGGTTTTAGCCACGGGCTCAGTCCCATTCCCCTCCTCACTTCTCCTCAGCAATTCGCCAGTTGTAAGAAGTCCCAGTGTCTTTGTAAAAGCAAACTATTTTTGTCCACAGTGATCAAATAGCTAAGACAAGCTTTCAAAGGAAGGAATCTCATTTCAAATGTAAAGACTGATATAAAATACTTGTTCTAAGGTTGGTCAAACAGATCTATCAACAGGGAAAGGAGGCAGCACAGTGAAACCCTTCAAGCAAGGCTGTACATGCAGAAAGCTAATTTTTAACTATTTGATTAACAGTTGTATTTTTACCCAAGGTTTCGAGAACAATCTTAACTCTGTAAAAATGCCCAGCTGAAGACAAACACCAGAGGTGCAAGTGTTCACCTGAAAGCCTCTCACCCCTGGCCACGCACGCTGCTGCTCCTCAGGCTGCAGACACCGCTGACAGCAGCATCGTGTTTTACTGTGCTGATGATTTCTACTATATAATTCAGAAGGACATATATAATTACATCCTTCAGAAGGACATCATCTACAGCCTTTCCATGCATATGCAGTAAGGATGGACAGCTCAGGAACAGATCATTTGATACACAATGTCTCCCTCAAGAAGAAGATTCGCGAGCTAGTCGTGACATCCCTTTGCCAGCGTTTCAGACAGACTTGCAGAAAACTACCCTGCTGAAAAATGTTCAACTC